ATAACCATCCTGTTTGTACTCCCATAATAGTTATTATTTTATTAAATTAGATAATTCAAGATGACAACTTTAAATTTTCAATATCCATCTTACCTGTATTTTCTTTTCTATGGCTTTAGCTTCTTTCATGGCCTCTTTATGAGCTGTTATTTCTCTTTCTAATGATGACTTGATGTGGTTAGCCGAGATTCTCAGCTGACCCAGTCTAGCTTGAGCCTGTATAGAAAGATATAGTTATCAATTTAAGTTGATAAAATTATTAAGTGCAGCATATAAATATATAGCACACACCATCATAAATGGTAATCAAAATACAGAATTTCTCACCCACGCAACCTTTGAATTACAAACTTCTGTAAACTGGTCTTATGGACAGGGTTTACTGTTATACATCAACTGGACACACTAACAGGTTTTACTGTTAGACATACCTCTGTAAACTGGCCTTGTGATACAGACATTTTACTGTTAGACATACCTTTGTAAACTGATCGTGTAATATAGACAGGTTTTACTGTAGGTTTGGATTACATACCTTTGTAAACTGGTCTTGCGCCATCGACAGATTTTTAAGATGTGGCTTCATCTTACGGTGTATTTCTGTATATCTATATATGGCATGGATCCACAGACACAAGGAAGCGATGGCATTACTATTTGCTTTTAGGACATCTACTCGAAATATCGGATTATGGACATATTTTTGTAATTCTTTGAAGGTAGAGGGAGTTATGTTATCCTTATCGTAGAATATCATCTCCTGAATAAAATTATCCTTTAATAAAAGTAGTTTTCCTTCTTCCCATCTGAAAGAAAATAGATGAAAAATAATTAAACACAAATTCTGAACACCGGCATGAAAAAGGGCCAACGTCCCCGGGCATTCATTTCACACCATCCGTGAAAGAATTAAACATAGAAATTATCGCTGTTAAAATGTCTTGCTTTCTCATATTGCTGAGTACTAGGTCCTATACTTGAGTTTTAGGGGCATATAACCAAGGAGTTGGCCCCTCTGGCACGCAACTGATTCTAACAAATACAAGGAAACAGATAATGTAGTTGACTTAAAACTGCTCATTTAATGGATTTTGAGAGCTGAATCTCTGAATCTGAATAACAGTCCAAAATTGGTTCAATTCCTTTCGATATTCAATGTCCTTGCTTAAAGCTCGATTCAAATATATATTTTACCCTGATATTACTTTCAATTATATATTTTACTTTCAATTATATATTTTACCTTGATAATCCTTTCAATTATATTTTTTACCTTGATATTCCTTTCAATTGTATATTTTACCTTGATATTCCTTTCAATTATATATTTTACCTTGATATTACTTTCAATTATATATTTTACTTTCAATTATATATTTTACCTTGATAATCCTTTCAATTATATATTTCACCTTGATATTACTTTCAATTATATATTTGACCTTGATATTACTTTCAATTATATATTTCACCTTGATATTACTTTCAATTATATATTTGACTTTCAATTACATATTTGACCTTGATATTCTTTTCCATTATATATTTGACCTTGATATTACTTTCAATTATATATTTTATTTTGGCACTACTTTCAATTATATAATTATGGCATTAGTTTCAAGTTCATCTGCTACTTTCAATCTTAAAATCAAACTACTTTAAATAAGACGCCTTTCTGAGCTAGATTCCCGTTGGGTGGATGTAGGAAGTTGTTAGACCCAAGGCCAGTATTTCTTTCGAGATCAAGCCTTGTGGAGCCCAAACCCAATGCTATTGCCCTTAACCCTAAAATGCAGGTATAAAAGTAATACTAACTCTTGGGGTTTATTAAATAGAACACAGAGTGCTTTGACAACAAACTTAACAGCATCTGGTGGACGACAGTAACTCTTGACTTCATCTATATCACCTTTATTTAAAGCTTTTAAAACTTCTTGTGCTGCTTCATAGGTTGGGTTCACCTGCATACAGAAACATAGGTTTAGGTCATTTCGGGAATAACACTTGGTACAATCTCATTTGAATAATTTGCTTGCACATAGCATAGTTGTCTTTAGCTGTGGGAAGAAACCGGATGACCTGGATAAAACCAGCGAAGTTGGACAGACGACCCTCTCCTTGTTACGTACAAGCCACGAATTGAAACCACAAATTATACATATAAATACATGCAATAAAATAAAATAAATTCAATGCTGAAGGGCCTAGATAACTTTTCATATGCACTTATTAAAGTAGTGGTGGTAACGATCATCGCAATTATAAAATCACTGATTAAACGAACAATGAAATTCTTTAAATGAGTTACATAACACTCTGTTCTATTACCTGATCAAACTCTAATTGAGTTCTTCTATTACCTTATCAAACTCTAATTGAGTTGTTCTATTACCTTATCAAACTCTAATTTAGTTGTTCTATTACCTTATCAAACCCTAACCGAGTTGTTATATTACCTTATCTTACCTTATCAAACTCTAATTGAGTTGTTCTATTACCGTATCAAACTCTAATCGAGTTGTTCTATTACCTTATCAAACTCTAATTGAGTTGTTCTCTTCAACTGTTCTAAAGGACTCTGTATTTCTGCTATCTTTTCTTCCTGTGATTTGCATTTCTCTAATGCCTGTGAAAAAACAAAAAAAACCAGCTCCTTTAATTAACAATTTAAACCTTACAGTACAAAATTATTGGTGTATGGATTCAAGTCCTGTTCAATTAAAATATTGGACAAAAACAAGCAAGAAAAGAAATAGTCAATACTTCATTTCTTTATTTCTAAATTCTATCATTTAAACATGCATTATGCAAGAAAAAATCTGCCTATTGCAAGTCTTTCTTTAGGCTTTAAATGTTATTTAAACTATTAAATCAACATTCATTAACAGGCCAAGACCATAAACAAGTCTCAATGGCATGGGATAGGTCCGATTGGAAGTAGTAGAACGGTTCAGGCATTTAATGATGTAATCTAAAAATATAAACAAGGTATCTTTATTATGTCCAATCCAGATACAAATTTCCTTAAAAAGTTCTGAAAGTTATTATAACCAATACCTGTATATATTCTTGTTTTTGTGTTTCAACTTTTTCGACCAGGTAATGTATCGTCTCTATGGAGTTTTTATGTTTTGGTGCCAAACAAGAAACCTCCTTTTTATAATGTGCGATACTTCCAAATGCTTCATCTATTTTACACAATGCTGCTTCATATTTCTTTCTTTTAATCTGCATGGAAAAAAAAAAAAAATTATTCATTTTAACTGCAAAGTTAGTAGACCTAGTTAATAGACATTTAAAATGAAGGAATGTTTCTCTTGTGAACGGATAAAAACATGTTTTTGTTTGATTGCAAAAAACTGACCTAGACAGCAGCGGTTCATCAGGTGGAATTCATTAAAGTTTTAAATACAGAATCGGATTAAAACACAGATCCCATTTCGTTTTGTTTTTTATAGTACAAAATGTCGTTTTACGTCTTTAATACACTAGGATCTGGAAGAGTTGTTATATAACCCACTTTCTGGATGATGTAAGGGATTAGCCAATGAAACGGTCTGTTACACTGAGTTTTTGGTGTGAGGTACACCGAACTGTGGGTAACACATTAGAAACATCAACGCTGATTGGTTAATCAAATGTCAGACTTCATAGGGTCAAAAATCGCTTGTATGATCTCTGAAGCGATCTTCCACTACAACCGGTCAGACCTTCATGTAGTATAGGCCATCGAAATTATAAAAAAACGAAACGAAATAGAGATCTGTATTTTAATCAAATTGTGGAAAAGTATATCTACCTTCTCAACTTTGACTGTAAAAGCAGTGATAACTTTAAATATATGTACAAACTCCATAAATGTGAGAGGTGTATAAAATCGTAGAGGTTCGTCTTGATGACAATACTGTCTTTCTATCACGGCCTTAGCTGACATATGAACATACGCCATAGCTTTACTTGCTAGAGTTATTTGCTCTTCTTGTTGAGATATATTCCATGGTATCGTAATCTGTAGCGTAAACAGAATAAAACATGAAATAAGGCTTCAAATGAAATGAAATAAACATCTTACTTTTCTGGACTAACAGGGTTAACAAAGAAGGGCATACGCCATGCTGATTGCGGATCCCATTTTACCCACGCAGCAGGACTTTGATTTGGGGCAATCTTTAACATGTTGCCTATGGTATACATAGGACCTTAGTTTAAAGTCTCCCATTCAATTAGACACTTTTAGTTACCCCGCCCTCCAAGGTGGTAAACCCCAAGGAATTTTCTTAGCAAACACCAGAATCAAACCCAGAACCTATAAGTTAGTGAGTCAGCACCATTCTTAAATATACATTATGCAAGAGTTAAATCTGCCTATTGCAGGTCTTTCTTTAGGCCTGAAATGTTATCTAAATTATTAATTAGACTCTATTAACTTATCCAGACCATAATCAACGCTCGATGTCTAATCTAATCTCCCATAATGCCCCTTTAATGAAACGAAATGAAATGAAATGGGGTTTAACGTCCTACTGTTCTGCTCCTATGCTGGGCTAATGAAGACGGGCATATGCCATACAGTGTGCTATGAGGGAAATTTTGCCCAGACAGCGGCACTATCGCCTACTCTTATATCGAATTCCAACTGCCAAGGGATCTTTTACGTGCATTCTAATGTATACACAGGACCTCGGTTTTTCGTATCATCCGAAGCACTAGACAGCTGTCCTTGTCAGGCCCTCCCTTCTGCATCACTTACAAGGGGGAACCCCGCCGGAAAATCTGGATGAACTTCTCGGCCAATGCAGGGATCGAACACCCGACCTCCAGGCTAGCGAGCCAGCATCTTACCCACTTAGCCACGTGATCCCCCCCTTTAATGAACCATCAAGGCTCCCATAAGGCATCAAAAGAAGTTGAGCTAAGGCAAAGTTCATGATTGCTCCCAACAGTTATTTGACCTATCTGAATTAACTATCTAACACTTGCCTTTTCAGGTCCTAAGGTCATACCACTGATAAATAAGAACCAAGCTAGAAAAAAAATTCTAACATTCCAGCACACAGCCTGATTGACAATGGAACTGTATAGATTGACTACTTTAACCCCAATTTACCTTAGAATGAGGATCTTCCAGCCAGCCTCGAGCAATATACGTAAAATCTTCAAAACTCCATGGTTTATATAAATCCATACTAAAACAATGTTTTGTTAATTCAGGGTACTGGGTAATCTTACACCGAAGTGACTGGAAGTCAGAGGAAAAACTATTGCCTGAGAAAAAAGAACATATATATTATAACATAATGTCCATCGAGGAGAGTATACAATAATACAGACTCAGTACTAACATTTGAACCATAAGAAATGAAACAAAATAAGATCTTAAGCACCTCAACCAAAATCAATGCTCCGATATAAGAGCCTTGAACAGGAGGAGTCAGGAGAATAGCTGGGTACTAGTTCTGTTACTCGGGTAGTATGAGAGAGAGAAAGAAAGAGAGAGATATGGGGTTTAACATATACTCGACATGATTTCGGGACTAACATATCTTTCAATTTTATTTTAATCATTCGCTTGCGTATTAGGTATTAACTGTGGGAGGAAACTAGAAGACTATACAGGTGCCCCTACTTCTTGTCATGTACAAGTGAAGGATAAAAACCATGCCACTTGACTCAATGACAAATCATAGGATCTTTTGACCAGTAAACAACCCCTTTAGTTTTAAACAGTTTTTGAAAAGTGAGCTACAAAAATTAATGCAAATATAATCCATCATTTCTAATCTATTTCTGAGAACTTGGGTAGGTGATAATTCGTCAATATTCGTAATAAAATATTACCTTTATAATTGAGACAGACTATGATATGTAAATTCTGTCGAATACGTTTAACGTATCTATCTAAAGCTTGCTCTATTTTATCAACACGTTTTGTCTGTACACCACCTGGCATCATCTGACTAACTATATTATTGACTTCTACTTCATTGTACAGACCAGGAACTTTACCTAAAAATAAGTTTTAATGGGCACTAAAAGCTAACTGAATAGCAATACATAGAAAACAATACGAGAACACTGGTTGAAATGTCAAACCATACTGATAACAAATTAGTTATTCTAAATGCTTTTTTGTATTTCTAATGTGCTAATACTAATCAAAGATTAAAAGGTAAATCTATTGATTTGAAACATTGATTATTTGAAATGGTCTGAACATTTGAGAGAAAGAGAGACATTGGGTTTAATGTCCACTTGACACAAACTAATTTTAATTCAGGTAGGGGTCTTTAGCAGTGGGTGAAAACTGAAGAACCAAGAGAAAACCCACGAGGTTGGCTGAATATTTGCAAAACATTAATATTTCAATAGTAATATGAGGATTTGTTGTGACCACAAATGTTTTAATTGCCTCGTGCTCCCATACTTCTTGCCCTTGCTCCAGTCTTACCTTCAGCCATCAGAGAACTGATGAGTTGTAAACAGTCAGTGCCTAATGCCTCATGTATTAATAAAACAGTAGACTTTCCTACAACTCCAGCATGGTGACAACTTCTCTTTATATGTTCTTTAACCGTTGTTAGGTTCCTCTCTTTCTCCCATACAGCTTTAGGTTCAAATATCTAGAAATAATACAAGCAAATTCCTCAATTATCCACAGACTGTGTGAGAATTGTTAAACAATACTCTTGATGGTGAAAGGGAAGATAAATTACGTGTTGATGTCAGGACTATCATGGTATATAATGTTAATAATTGACTTGTACTCAAGCATCTAAGTACCAGGATGAAAGCAGAGTGCCGACCGAGAAAAAATCCATGATGTTCGGAATGGGTTCAAAATTCATGAATAAAACCATTGATCTGCACCAGCAGTTAGACCACCCCCGATATCTTACCCTCAATGAAACAGGTTGAATGTTTTATCAACACAATACTACAATCGTTTTGGGATACATATATATTATATTTATTTCTATTCTTAAGAAAGAGAGAGATGGAGTTTAACATCATTTCGGGAATAACATACGGTACAATTTTATTTCAGTAATTCACTTCAATGTTGGGGACTTTAGCCGAAGGAGAAAACCCACATGGTTGGGCATGCAAATCTACTCCTAGTCTAGTACAAGCTTGACTCAAAAACAGACTGTATGATCTAAAGTGCACTGCCACCAAATCGATCTTCTATGTCCCATACTTACCTTACAGTTAGTACCAAATCCCCTGTACTTACCTTACAGTTCGCGGTATAAGCGGCTAATCTGGCTAATGTAGCTCGACCTGTACAATAACTTATACCCAATAACAATGCATGACCACCGGGAAACGCCTACAAATATTCAAACATGAGAATTTAATATATATATATAATAAAAGTGGTTAAACGTTTTATTTTCTGCACGAAGATGAAGTGTGCTATGAGATCTTGTCCAGGTTGGGGGGGGTGGGGGGGATAAAGCCTAATTTTGTTTAGATTTAAAACTGTCAGTAGATCTTTAACAAGTTGCCAATGGTATGCACAGGACCTCAGTTTTTTTCCTACACCATCCGAACGACTAGGCGCTTGCCAGTGTCCTGCACAAGTGCGAAAGGGAAACCAAACTAGAAAATCCTGAGGTACTTTTTCAGACAACAGGATTGAACCGAGATCTCCTGGGTAAGTTTAAGTAGAGAGAGAGAGAGTGAGAGAGAGAGAGAGAGAGAGAGATGGGGTTTAACCGCCACTCAACATAAACTAGGTCATTTCGGGATTAACATATGGTTAAATTTTATTTTAATAATCTGCTTGCATGTAGGGGTCTTTAGCAGTGGGAGGAAACAGGAGGATCCAGAGAAAACCCACATGGTTAGACAGGCAACCATTCTCCTTGTCCATGCAACCGGGGAATCAAAACCACACCAGTTGTCTCAATGACAGACTCTATGATAGAATGAGAGATCATGAGATCACAGAAAAAGAGATCATGAGATCATGGAATGAGAGACCATGAGATCACAGAAAAAGAGATCATGGAAGGAGAGATCATGAGATCATGGAATGAGAGATCATGAGATCACAGAATGAGAGATCACAAGATTATGGAATCTATGTTTAAATACAGAGATAAAATATATTTACCAGAACTCGACTGAGTCTAGCTGCATGTTGTATGGACTCCTTAAAGAAGATGAGATCTAATTGTTGATATGTTCTCTTGTTATAAACATTTAAACAAGTCTTTAACCCTTCTAATAAACTTTCTTCATTAGTCTCCAGATAACCTAGTAAATAAAACAACATGTCAGGTCATGATTGCCCAATAAAACGGGATTATTTCAATTGTTTGAATGATCTTAAGATCCACCACCAAACACTATGTTTTTTAATAATAAAGGGAAGAATTGTCCACTAAACATGTCGCATATAGCAAAATTGCAAATCATATTGTAATACACAGGATCAAGCTTTAAGTCTTCTAGATCTTGTCTATTCAATAGTAAGGCCTTAAACATCAAACAAGGTATATCCAGATATAACTAATTTTCTGTCATTTCATAATGACGTATAGGAACACTTTAGGCTTACAGGTCACGCTTTCAATTTAAAATAAATGTACATTAAAGTCAGTCTTGGTTTTGTTACATGCTGTTTACACTGTGGTTTAGTAATTAAATATTGAGCTGCTCAACCTAAAGGCCTCAAGGTATTATTGGGCTAACTGATAAAAAGCTGTAGTATCAATATTATTTATATCACCTACCTTTTTCAGTAGGTAAACCAATGTTTTCTGTATGACATGTCATATAAAATTTACTGAACATAAAATCAGTTAAACTACTGCTTGATCCTTTTAACTGTGAAATAAATATAAAAAATTACCATTTTGAGTTTGACCAATTCTTTTAATGAAAAATCAAACAGCTATGAACAAACATTCTAGACAAAAGATTTGTAAATTACTTTTCACGATCTAGAGAATTTAGATTATCTGTCAAAAATCCCAACTGAACAATCCTTAACAAAAATAATCCCCCAATATGAATGGACTGTAAAGTCAACTCAGGTTAGGATATTTTGGGACTAACATATCGTAATATCTATATAAATTAGGTGAAAAGTGTGAAAATACTAACCTCCTCAGTTGACATCAGTGGACCATAATATGCTTCATGTTCTCTGTCAGCTAATAATCCGGCTTTAAACGTAACACCCCGTTTGGTTTTTGATGCACGTCTTTTAGGACCCACAGTTTTACTTTGCAATGCTGTTGCACTGGTGACTTGAGAAGTACAAACAATTACTAATTACACACGATTAAAATGATAACATTATAAATTTTGAAGAAAAAAAAACACAATAAAAACAAATTATCAATATTTTACAATCAAATTAAAAATGGATGTCATTTTCCTTCAGATTATTCGTAAAAAGAAATAAAACAGAACAAATTATTAGTATGATTTCGACTTGATTTTATATTGAGTATAAATAGGTTGTTAATTTAATTTTTTTTTATCAAGTATCATAATCGATATGCCCAGTGGTATCGTTCTGATCTATCCAGGGCTTAGTTGAGTAGAACGGAACGATACCACTGTGGATACCGAGGATGCTCAAGTATGTACTGCATGTAAAACAGTTTCAATTTGCATGATATAACAACGCCTAGAAATAACAATTTTATGTAAAACAGGAGTTTCAATTTGCATGAAATAACAAGGCCTAGAAATAACAATTTTAGGCAGCACTGTACCCAACATTTTTATATTTCTGGCAGACATGCATTAAGTGCATCAGAGAAATTTGACATGACAAAACACGAACTTGAGCTAATAATTGTCTTGTCATGGCCTAAATCATGACTTGTGCTCTTTTTCATCATCTTTGATAAATAAATGAACAAATATCAACTATTCACTATCTCTGCATGTGCTCACCTTCACTAGATTTTGCAGACGAATCTTTAGAAACTTTAGAATTGCTTGTCTGCTCTGATAAGTTTGAGGATGGGTTAGTCACAGCTTTAAAAACAAGCACAGAAGTTAGCAAAACATACACAGGGTGAAATACATTAGCAAAACATACACAGGGTGAAATACATTAACAAAACATACACAGGGTGAAATACATTAGCAAAACATACACAGGGTTAAATACATTAGACAAACATACACGGGGTGAAATACATTAGCCAAACATACACCAGGTGAAATACATTAGCAAAACATACACAGGGGTAGTTGGTTAGAAATAAACAGAGCATGGATAAGTTAACAAAATATTTACCAAAACTTACACAGGTGAAATAAGTTAGCAAAACAAACATAAACATGGGCGATACATTTCCAAAAGAAATATTGTGGCAAACAGTTAGGATTAATACATATAGCGTTATAGTGCAAAAGTTTCCTTAAACACATTATGGGGAAAATTTTTAAAGTAAACTGCATTTTGTTTTCTTAAAGTTGTGCCATGTTATCACCAACAAGACACATATAAGTTTTGTTTTATTGTTTCACTAATTTGTAAAAGAACTTACAGAGAGATGTCTGACTAAATTTAACACCAGGTGTATTTGTTCTTCCTCTGATACTATCACCTTTGTCTAACAACAAAATACAATTTTTATAAATAAAAAATACAGCAACCTATCAGGAATGAATGGAATGGGGGTTTAACGTCCTACTCTTCTGCACCAATATAGCTAATGAAGCCGGGCATACACCAAACAGTGTGCAATGAGGGAAAGTTTAGAGAGAGAGAGAGAGAGAGGGGAGAGACAGAGAGAGAGAGAGGGTTAACATCTACTCAACACAAACTAGGTCATTTCAGGAATAAAATATGGTTTAATTTTATTTCAATAATTTGCTTGCGCATAGGGATCTTTAGCAGTGGGAGGAACAACCAAAATTTTATCCAGACTGCAACTGAATTCCAACTGTTAAAGGTTCTTTTACATACACACAGGATCTCAATTTTTAGTCTCATCCGAATGACTACACTTGTCAGCAATAAATCAGTAAACAGAATGAAGGAAATGAAACATGAAATCTGTCAGATATGATACTTTGCCAATTTATACAAATACAGCTATATGAATATACAGAAAGCAGGATTAATAATAACATTTGGTAAAGCATTGCTGAAAAATACCAGGTGTATAAGCTTACGCATATGGCAAGGGAAGTATAATATGTTAAACCAAACCCTACCCGAAGGAGAACCAGTGGTAGTTTCATCAGTAGAATCACTCTCTTCATCATCGTCATCACTATCTTCTGAAGCTTCAGTTTCATAAGCAGTTTCTTCTGCTTTAGTATCAATTTCATTTTCTTCCTGTGTCCCAACTTCTAAATTACCTCCAACTGAATATAATTAACACTTTTATTAGACTTGGCTGTTTCATCATGCACAATAGAATGAAATCGGATTCTGAGTCTCATGAACACAATACTTCAGTAATTTTAAGACTAACATATTTAAATTTTCAATTAAATGGTTATGTAAGCAATGCAAGTTTGTGCAAATGTGAACAAGGGTGCTGAACTTGGTTCTTCAACCCATCCAAACTACTTTGAAAAATCTCAAAGGTGCTTCTCAGCCCACGCCGGGAACCAAACCTTACACATTCTAGTGAAGAGGCCTAGGTCCCCTTGATCTGCCAGCACAACCCATAAAATGTAAGACTATGCAATTTTTTTTTTTATCATCTGTAAAACAATCATCTGTGAACATTTTTTAACATGTATGCAATGTAATAGTGTTGGTTTCTATCTCCTAAATCAAAAGTACTTCATTAACAATTTCAGAAAAAACATTAAAAACATCAATCCATAAATCTACCTATATCTGTTTTAAATGTTGGTGAACTTTTTTCAGAACTAGACGTTTCTCCTGAAGATGGCTGTGTAACAATGTGCTGATTTTCAATCTCCTTGTTCGTCTCAGATGGAGCGTCGACAAAGTCTGGAACCGTGTCCAACTCATCATCATCAGTCATATATTTCTCAACTTCATCAAAGTCAATAGATGTAGATATAATTGGAGTTGACTGAAATCTGTGAGCTGGAGTTGATCTGCCAATCTGAAAGAAGGAACAACTACCATTGATGCCAATGAAAATGATTGTGCCAATGAAAATGATTGTGCCAATGAAAATGATTGTGCCAATGAAAATGATTCAAAAGAGATTGATGTTTATAATTTACTGAGGTTTGTGAATAATAAAATTTGAACAGGTAGTTTTAATTAAAGACCACTTAAGATCAAAAATCTAAATTTCATGTAAGTATAGCCCATGGTTACTATATCAACTTTACGGCAAGTTCACACCAATCTGATTAAAATTAAGTCCGCTGTTAACGTTTAAGTATCCGACACGCCAAAACGCTTTTCAATTTTTCAATTCCGACCTTAATCCGGTTGATTGGCTGGTGACGTCACAGGCACTACACATAGGATATACATTATCTATACAATATCTCACCGTATGTACAATATAGCACTATCAATACACACGGCAACTGGGCAAGCGTCTATTGACGTCCAATTACCACATGACTGGCCTAATCATAATCACCGAATTATCGTCTTTCATTGGTATAGATTAGACATTTGTGATTGGAATATTTTAGAGTGAATTTAAAATGCCGTATCATGCCGTAGATCAAATTAAGCTGCCTTTGTTTAAATGGGCCACGTGTCAAATGAAGATGACTCAAGAAATTAGCGCATTTACCGGTAATTTTGATAACCCCGTAATACTTGATATCCCAAACTTAAGTACAGAAATACAAATGGTGCCAGTCATTTGTCGATATATTCATTATTAGCTATATATAATAATAATAACCATTTCTATACATAAAGAACAACTACAAAGAATATGGAATTTTCCGATGACTATGCATAACATGTACAATAGATCGCACTCATTTCTCTGCCAATCAACGCTTGGTATCTTATTATCATGTACCGTTCCATGTACTACGGGTGTAGTAAATGAGGTTAAACTAATTACCTAATCAACATTCTTAACCCCACTAACACTCACTGCTAACACCAACTTGAAATTAATTTATGACCCATGCCTGTATAACTTTTATAGTCGGATTGATTAATTAATGACAGATATTAACGACACTACACTTTATGTTGAAAAGCGAAGTGCTCGCAGTAAAAACCACATAACTGGACCCGTATATTTTTTACATATTAAAAGTGTTCGTCCAATAAGTTCCATATTGTAAAAAATTAATTAAGAGTTCAGGACTTCAAAGTTTAAAAGTTGTAGGCACTCTAAATTGGATCTTAAATTAAAACGAATTACAAAACAAATTATTCCGTAGTCAATTGTTTTATTTAATTAGGGGGATTAAGGAATCCTTCAGGCGTTAAAGAATACACACGCCGGCTGTATATAGGTAATTAAGGAATAAACATTCCGAATATGCATTCGGTCACTGTGACGTCACTGGCGTCTGAGGGGATTAAGAGTGTTTTCGATAATTGGCAAAGTCGTTTTTACGGAAGGTCTATTTTTACGACTTTGAATGAAGATAACTGAATTAATTTCAACGAGATTGGCGTGAACTTGCCGTAAAGTGGATATAGTAACCATTGGCTACACGTATCTCAAATCTTTTGGGACCATCTTATGTGCACTTTAATAGAATATCCTTACATAGAAAATATATATATATCAGATTATAACAAATTCAAATGCAAAATTATTGAAAAAGATGCAGGTCATAATCAGATTCAAGCCAGTTTAGGAATAATACAGTTTATTGAATTCATTTTAAAGAACAAAATAAACGTACAGGTTCTTCAGTAATAGCAGTCATTTCCAATTTTGGATCATCTCTGGATAAACAGAATTGTTTTACAGCTACGTCCTCTAAAACTTTAGCAAACCATTCCTTCTCTGTAATAAATAATATATAGCAATATAAAAAGAGAGAACACTGGTAGAGGGGTGCATGTGATCAAAACTTCCATATGTATCTGCATTCTGCATCCATAAGAATAACTGACATCTGAATCTTATTGGATATAAAGCAAGAAGAGTTTTACCATTAAAAAAAAGCTCCCTATTAAGACTCAAGATGATTCCACACAACAACAAACTTCCAAACCATCATAAAAACCTAACAGCTACAATTGACTTTAGATCAATAAGCTTATAACATGTTCCAATGCATAGACTTATTGTTCAACTTGGAGCATGCTCTGGGATACATTGGGTACATTATAATAATCATCATTATATTACAAGTGAGTGACAGTTAATTACCAATATGATATATTGGAAAATGATGAGTGAACATTTCAAATTATTGATGAAAACAAATTCCAACAAATTCATTACAACTGTTTAAGTGAAAAATTAGAAGAGATGTCTTTTAAAACCATTCGTTAGCTTGTTGTAATAATAAATGTTCAAAAAAAAAAAACCCTGAAAGATTTCAAAGTTTTTACGTTTTTTTTTTTCATTAAACCGACAAAATATATTCTTACCATCACCAGCTATCAATCTGTCAGAAAATGTCCGAGTACATTCATGACACCAAAGCTGCGCAATAACTTTCATCATTGGAGCTGCTGATCCCAATTCCTTACTCCCTGTTCCAGTCTGTTGGGAACGCGATCCTAGAGATTCTTCCGATAACTGTCTTCCTACGGACTGTAAACTCTTCACTTCTAAAAACAGATTTAACAAATTATAAGATTGTGGTAGACAAACAATACAATAGGCAAACATTCATTGTCAATGGACAATGACAATATTAATTTAAAGATACATTATGGGAGATAAGATAAAGAGATGGCAGTTCTCGCTATAATAATTAAAAACTAGATAGTGTAAAGGTAATTTGCTGAAAATTTCAGTCAAATTGATCCACTATGAGCCGAGAAAGAAGCGGGTGAAAATTTTGCATAGTCTCGGTCATCATTACTAAAATCATTAATATAAACAGCATAGTCTCGATTATCCGCTTTTTTTGATTTAATCATCAATAGCCGTTAGCGGCATATAGGAATCTAATCCAGCCAACATCGAAGGCTAGCCTTGACATCGAGAGTTGATTATGGTCTGGATAAGTTAATTAATGTCTAATTGATAATTTAGATAACATTTCAGGCCTAAAGAAAGACTTGTAATAAGCAGATTTTGCTCTTGCATAATGCATGTTTAAATGAAGTGTAAATGTCCATAAATGTTCCTTTTGTTATCTAATTAATTACATTACTTTTGAAATCTTCCATTACTCGTTGCATGACCATTACTTCAAAAATTGTAATGATTAGATTCCATTACCCATTATTCCAGCCCTGATTTCTAAATCAAGGTTGATCCTCAATTCACTCTATTGGAACTTCATTTCTCTCAATTATAACCATGGAAGGGCTATAAAACCAATACCATTGTTCAGGAAGGTAAAATAAAATATTCTATTAATTTATCAATAGCATACTTACTTCTATTTGTTTTCTCTGTGTTTTTAGCGTGTTTATTTTTACGAACTCTGGATCTAGGTGACATGAGCAGAACTCCCTGTACAACTTTAGCAAGATCGTGTAGTGAGAAGATATAATGAGTGTGAGCTGGAGTTGGTTTTAGCTTGTCTCGTACAAGGTTATATAACTCTAACAAACCAACCACCATTGCCTGTAACAGAAAAAAACAATTCGTTTGAATCCAGGCGAGACATTATCAAACATTGGTTTTATGACTTTGTTTTCTTAATTAAATGTTAAATAATAAATCTGTGTGCAATATTATCGTTGGTTAAGCCATTCGAAATTTAAGCTTTTAGCGAAAAATGCAAGTGACTTGATAATTGCAACGATCACTTAGCACTATATTATGTTAGAATGCTCATCCAACAGTATGCAATTTGGATAACTGAAAGTTTGTATTTTTTCTTCTGGTGTTGTACAGGACTAGGATAAAAGTCTACAAGAGTCTTTCACTTCAAATTAACCAGTTTTATTCACTAAAATATATCAGCGAGTGCTCCAGCAGTGATGCTACTAATAATTTTTTAAAAATACAGGAGCTGTGGTGACTCAGTGAGCAAGATGTTGGCTCCCTAACCTGGAGGTCTTGGGGTTGCTCCCTGTGTTGGCCAAACGAGTTTCTCAGGGTTTTCCAACTAGTTTTCTTCTTGTTGGTGGTGCAGGACAGAGGGACTGGCAAGAAAACAAGGTCCTGTGTACACATTGGCATGTACATAAAAGAACCCTTAGCAGTTGGAATTCTATATAAGAGTAGACCATAGTACTGCTGTCGGGGCAAAATTACCCTCATAGCACACTATGCCGTATGCCTGTCTTCATAAGCCCAGTCGGAGCAGAACAGTAGGACGTTAAACCCCATTTCATATCATTTTATTTTAAAAATACAAGAAGAAGAATCTTACCCGAGCGAATTCTGAATGATGTTCTACTGAGTAAGTAGGGAATTCTTCCAACCACGAATGTAAAGGTTTAGAATAAATGGTGAGAAGAGAGTCAGCAGACGGACAGAACATCGTGAGATTAACAAACAGACGTGATAATCGAGATGATAACAGATGAGATGCTCGGCCTAAACCTGTACCTAAAATAATAACGATATGAAAATATTATATCAAAACAGACATGTTCATCTATTTGTTAACAATCCTAACATAGATTTCATTAAATATTCATAAGAATAGTTTTAGTAAATAAAAATTTGTTGATATTCACCAGATATATATATATATATATATATATATATATATAGGTCACCTACACAGCTTTATATATCATACAGAGGGGGTCACAGTGATTAAGTGGGCAATATGCTGGCTCGCTAGTCTGAAGGTCGGGTGTTCGGTCGCTGCATTGGCCGAGAAAGTTCATCCAGATTTTCTGGCGTGGTTCTCCCTTATCAGCGATGCAGGACGGAGGGCCTGACAAGGACAGTTGCTAGTCGTTCAGATGTGACGAAAAACCAAGGTCCCGTGTACACATTGATGTGCACGTAAAAGATCCCTTGACAGTTGGAATTCGATATAAGTGCCGCTGTCCAAAAGTATGGTCATTTACAAGTGGGAACTGGGTCCACAGCAGGTTTCAAATCCGGGACATTTGTGAAATCAGTATCATCATAAATACGATCATACATATACAGCAGAAGTTCCACCTGCTCTTCTTCAACAAGATCTTATATTCATTTGGAATCCAAAGTGTGCACGCAGACTCTCATGGAAAGTAGACTCCCTTATCATTTCCGAAAACAAAGTCATTATCCTAAAGAAGGTAACCGAACATGGAAAATGCTAGTTATGAATCCTGCTGTGACTCAGTGGTTAAAGTGCTGGCTCACTAACATGGAGGTCCTGAATTCAATCGTGGTGCTGTCCGAGAAAGTTCTGCAAGATTATTTTTCATTGCATTCTAACAGTCAAAGCTTCTTCAGTGTGTAGAAGGGTGGACCTCATATTTCTGTTCTAATTGAATGATTAGGCAACATTTTCCTTGTCAGTTCCATAAGTGCTTGCCATAACAAGTGGGAACCGAGATTGGCCCACGGCAGGATTCAAAAGTGGGACATTCTATTTGAAAGTGGGACATTCTATTTGAAAGTGAGACATTCTATTTGAAAGTGGGACAATCTATTCGAAAGTGGGACATTTTATTCTAAAGTGAGACATTCTATTTGAAAGAGGGACATTTGATTCAAAAGTGGGACATTCAATTTAAAAGTTGGACAATTGGACATTCTATTAGAGAGTCCAGTGCCCTTACAGCTCAACTATTGAATAAATGAGACAGTAGGCCCAACATACCATTAGCTGTAGGATAAGTACAAGCAGCAATAAAACTCAGTTCTGTCATCGACTGTAATTCTAGACGCTCTTTATTGTAAACATCACCTTGGACCAGAATATGACGGAGAAGTTCTAGCGGTGGATGATAACTTCCAGTAGGTGACGCCATGTTCAGATCGTCTATAAAAAACAGATGATGCTGTTTACTGTGTGACATCCCCGGAGCGTTGCCAACATTAAAACCACGATTTTTCATCTCCATCACCCGTGACATCAGTTTGTTTTGAATAAGAGACGCTGTCATAGCAGACGACATTCTCATACTTGTTGATGTATGTCTGTTTGCTAGCGAACTCTGAAAAAAAAATATTATTTTTAAATTATTGATTGCAGGATGACAGCATAGCATGCAACAAACAACCTACTTTGGAATATGTTTCCCCTTCTGAAAATAACTGGGTATTGGTTGGATAGTGCAGTGCAGCAGGGAAGCATAAATATATTGTGGTAAAATACAACTGATCCAAAGAAATTCAGACATTAAAATCAGGAGACTATATGATTGTGCAATTTACCTGTATCAATGCTGTTTTGCCAACACCGGGAGCACCTGTCAATAATACTGGATGATTGACTGCTAACATTAAATCAATCAAATATTGATATCTCTCCACCTATAATCAGATACAAATCAAATTATTGTACAATTATACAATAACAGGAGAACTGTATATCCAACCATAGATAGAACAAACAATACAGGAGAACCGTACAGCCAACACCCTCTCTTCACTTGGATCTATTATCAAGAGGAGTAGTAAGGGCAATAAACTCTCAACTAAGATGAGAGAGAGAGAGAGAGAAATGGGGTTTAACGTCCACGCGAGAGAGAGAGAAATGGGGTTTAACGTCCACGCGACACAAACTAGGTCATTTCGGGACCCACGAGGTTGGACAGGCAACCCTACTCCTTGTCACATACAACCGGGGATTCGAAACTACGCCAGTTGACTCAATGACAGGCTTTATGATACAGCGCGCACGTGCTAACCATTCAGCCATACAACCCCCTCAACTAAGATAAAACAGGTTCGAATACTGGCATCATGCAAGTCAAAGAATGTGTGCCTATTCATTCAGATTGGACGAAAAACTGAGTTCCACCATTGTACTCATTGTCATTGTAAAAGAACTCTCAACAATTAAAATTTGATGAAGAATAGACGGAAACAATGCGGTCCATGCAAAATTCTTCTCCCAAAAAATAACTGAAGTATTGTGTTTAGCACTGTTATATCTCACCTCAGGAGTAAAAACAAATCCACCACTGCCACTTCGAACTTTCTCATTCTGTCTTTCACTCCAGCGAATAAAACATCCGGACGTTTCCTCCACGAAATAATCAAACACCTGACCCCACATGGGTAATCTGATTGGATGACGAGCATGGTATAATATCTCATGAGCAAATTTACTAAATCTGTCCTTACACCTGAAACAACATAAAGTCATTAGAATTGAACTGATATGCACAATTGTCCATTTTCATCAAGAGTTACCAGTTGTCCAGATTTTATCAAGGGTGACCATGCCAGTTGTTCTCGTTTTATCAAGAGTCACCTGTTGTTCTAGTTTTATCAAGAGTCACCAGTTGTTCTAGTTTTATCAAGAGTCACCAGTTGTTCTAGTTTTATCAAGAGTCACCAGTTATTCTAGTTTTATCAAGAGTCACCAGTTGTTCTAGTTTTATCAAGAGTCACCAGTTGTTCTAGTTTTATCAAGAGTCACCAGTTGTTCTAGTTTTATCAAGAGTCACCAGTTGTTCTAGTTTTATCAAGAGTCAGCAGTTGTTCTCGTTTTATCAAGAGTCACCAGTTGTTCTCGTTTTATCAAGAGTCACCAGTTGTTCTAGTTTTATCAAGAGTCACTAGCTGTTCTAGTTTTATCAAGAGTCACCAGTCGTTCTAGTTTTATCAAGAGTCACCAGTTGTTCTAGTTTTATCAAGAGTCACCAGTTGTTCTAGTTTTATCAAGAGTCACCAGTTGTTCTAGTTTTATCACTAGCTGTTTATAGTTTTATAACAAGTCACTAGCTATCCTAGTTTTATAAAGAGCCACCAGTTGTTCTAGTTTTATCAAGAGTCACTAGCTGTTCTAGTTTTATAAAGAGTCACCAGTTCTAGTTTTATCAAGAGTCACCAGTTGTTCTAGTTTTATCAAGAGTCACCAGTTGTTCTAGTTTTATAAAGAATAACCAGATGTTTTAGTTTTATCAAGAGTCACCAGTTGTTCTAGTTTTATCAAGAGCCACCAGTTGTCCTAGTTTTATCAAGTCACCAGTTGTTCTAGTTTCATAAAGAATCACCAGTTGTATAGTTTTATAACAAGTCACTAGCTGTCCTAGTTTTATAAAGAGCCACCAGTTGTTCTAGTTTTATCAAGAGTCACTAGCTGTCCTGGGGAATTATTCATGAAAACATAAACTAAAATACAGCCTTGTTATTAGTTGACATATAAAATCCTCGCACAAATTTTAGATTGTAGCCAATGAAAAGGCTGCATTCTTAGTTTACGGCTTTGTACGTAAGGCTTCTAGTTTTATCAAAAGTCACTAGATGTCATAGTTTGATCAATATTAAGAGTTTAAATTAAGGCCTGTGACAAGATGAATGAATTCTTGAGTAAGTCTATTAATTACCTATCATGTAAATATCCACCAAAAGACCAGATAAAAGAGAAGGCAAACATGGCCTGTATGATATCCATATAGTTAGGAAACATCATCTCAATCTGAGAACTAGTCGTCAATCTACTGGACATATTCCTTGATGGACATGAACCACTACTTTTATTACTAAACTCTTTCTCTGAAAATAAAATATCAAATCCATGACAATAAACCATTATTTCATTAAACTAGGGAGACAATAGTTGTTGTATTAAGGGGTTCATGCAAGAGAGAGAGAGAGAGAGAAAGAGAGAGAGAGAGATGGGGTTTAACGTGTCCACTTTACACAAACTAGGTCCACTTGACACAAACTAGGTCATTTTGGGACAAACATATGGTTTAATTTTATTTCAATAATTCGCTTGCACGTTGGGGTCTTTTGCAGTGGGAGGAAACCGGAGGACCCGGAGAAAACCCACAAGGTTTGACAGGCGACCCTACTTCTTGTCACGTACAACCAGGGATTCGAAACCACGCCAGTTGACTCAATGACAGGCTTTATGATACAGTGCGCACGTGCTAACCATTCGGCCATCCAATCCCCCGGGTTCAGGCAAACTCTAAATAGAACACTAACCAATAATTAAAAACAGCAAATAAGAATTAGTGGACACACTGAATGCTTATTTTATTATTTTAATATTCGATTCAACTTCAATGTTTGCATAGTTTAAAGTCCTCTTTTCTGATTTCTACAGATTGTGAATCTTTAAAATCAAAATATTTTCCAGTATAAAGACCTGTCCACTATTAAAACCACTTGATATCAGTCCTGCAACCAGGCTTAATACGGGATTTCACTGTAATTGTATTGGATAGAATTGTGTCCTGTGTATCTAGAGTTGTCCATACCTTCCAAAGCTTCTAATCTCATCTTTCTCTCCAGATCTTCTCGGAGAAAAACGCGATCCAACATGGCGTTAAAGATTCGGAAAAAGGTTGTTACTTCCTGTATCCCCGTCACAACTTGACTTTTTCTAGCAGCCGAGGGGCTTAGATCAGCCAATAAACCTGACGTACATTCTGTTTTCAGATATTTTAAAGTTGGTTCAAATACATCATCCATTAAGTTCTCTAAAACACTGGAACTGCAAAATAAAACAAGATTCAGTTAACAACATCCTACCCCAAGTACGTACAAAAGATTAGGCTAATTGGTTTTCAAAAATCTCAATAGCTTTTTCTCTGGCAATACATTAAAAATACTTTAATCAAAACTTTGTAATCAAAGATATAAATCTATAAATCTTACCAGAGTGATGTAATGACCCATCGATGTTGTGCCGTCTGTTTCCAGTGATAGAATAAAGATTTCCAGTGAACGGTTGATTGTGAACAGTGAATAACAGAACATCGAGAAATAGATGATGGTGAAGCATCTTCCAGTGATGTCGTTTCAAATATAAAACTGGTGCTATCTGTGAACGTTAAAGAGAGAGAGAGAGATGGGGTTTAATGCAAACCGACCCAAACTAGGTTATTTCAGGACTAACATATGGTTTAATTTTTTTTTCTCAATAATTTGCTTGTACGTAGGGTTCTTTAGCAGTGAAATGAACAGGAGAACACGGACAGGCAACCCTACTCCTTGTCACGTGCAAGCGGGGAATAGAAACCACGTCACTTGACTCAATGCCCAATAAAGAAATGGAATGTGGTTCTTAATGTCTCATCAACACCATGCTCAAGTCACTTTGAGATAATTATACGTTAATTTCTGTTTCTATGGTTACGTGTGCAAATTGAACTGAACAGTGCCAGCATAAAGTACATTCATATAAACACAATTTATGGCACAAATAACATGCAAAAAAATTACAAAATTTAACCTTTTAATGTAATTGTTTCTCCACTGGCTGTTGCTAAGCGATGTTCTTCATCTAAAACTGTTTTAATGCCTTCCGTCCACAGAGGGTCCATTTCACCGTCCAATACAATCCATCGAGACAAAACGGATGGCAAGTCTGTACTAGATTTAAGTTTCTTTTCTCCATTTACGTATGTATTGATATGTGATTGGGTTGCCAAGGCAATAGTGTAGGAATCTCTCACAATTTTAGCCAAAAGTCCACCTTGCCATAAACCATTTTGAAAATATCCCAGAAGCTGAAAGATGAAATGAAATGGTGTTTAACCAGTGTAAGACAGAGTATATAACAGAAAACTATGGAAATAACAGTTTCCATGTTCTTCTGCATTTTGATGTTACACGAAATATTATTTTCTGCAAAGGAAACATTAAACTGTGCATCTCACGAACATATCCTGTTAAATGAAGTAGCATGGGGTTTAACCAATTGGGCTAATGAAGACAGGATATTATGTTAAAGGGGCATAAGGTAAGATTAGATAAAGAGCTGACAGTTCTCGCTATAATAGTTAAAAGATAGATAAGCAAAACAGAATATGCTGAAAATTCAGTCAAACTGCTTCACTCTGAACCGAGATATTAGCCACTGAACTTTAGGCTAGTCCCGGTCGTCATTACTGATGTTGGTATGACAACAAAAAAAGACTTGTTTATCTATTTTTAAGTTAAATTATCCATCACAAAATGTATTCTAATCCAGTAAATATCACAGTCTTACGATGGCATCAAGAGTTGATTATGGTCTTGGTAAGTTATTTAATGTCTAATTAAAAATTCAGATAACATTTCAGGCCTACAGAAAGACCTGCAATAGGCAGATTTAGCTCTTGCATAATGTATGTTTAAGAAATAAACTATACCTCTTCTGGCATCATGGCTGTTGGTGTTAATTTAACAATGTCTATTTTAGGATATTCAGCATGATCGGGTGTTTCTGCTTTCTTCAGCTGTTCTTGTACACTGTCTATATAATCTTTAGCTCGGGATATATTCTGTCGTAGACCACGTAATTTCTTTACTCCTGTCAACTCCTTCTTTTCAACTTCAACATCATTCAAAATCTGGCCAAAACAAAACAAAATAAAAATAAATTTAAGCTTATATCAAATCTAATGGACAAAATAAAAATATCTCAAATGTATAGCAGTAAACAAAAACAAAGTCCTGTGGAAGATATAAGACAAATTTGAGCAATAATAAATGGGGAAAACAAATCAAGAAATGCTAACTCTTTCAAACACACTTCATACCAATTTGGGGGTACTTTTAAATAGTTCAAGAATGAATGAAAAAGTTGTAATATTAATCAATATTATGAATTTCTTTGAAATTCTAATATATAACATGTAAATTGGCTGACAGACAAGCTCTGTTGTATAGTTATGTCAATATTTAATATATACAAATAATTTTACATTCCTACAGAATGCTAGAAAGAAAAGCTGAATTTCATGTAGAAATCTATGAGAAGAACTATCCGAACTTAGTAAGATATAGATTAATAAAAACAGTTTGTTCTAGGAGGAGAATTATCCGAGCTAGGTAAGATATAGAATAATAAAAACAGTAGGTTCTAGGAGGAGAACTATCCAAGTAAGATATAGATTAATAAAAACAGTATGTCCTAGGAGGAGAACTATCCAAGTAAGGTATAGATTAATAAAAACAGTAGGTTCTAGGAGGAGAACTATCCAAGCCAAGCAAGAACTTACTTCTTCCTCTTCATCGTCTTTCTGGTAAAATCACGAAATCAAATTATGAATTAAATATTGCAAAAGAATAATTCTCTAGACTTTATCAAGGAAATAATGATTTTTTTCTAGAGAATTCTTGTCATATAATGGCTAGGTATAAGAATTGTCCTGTGCATTTCCAGAACAAATTACTAAATGCTATAGAAACAATTTAATTTAATTCGGGTGATCATTAATATTATCAATTTCCATACAAACTTTTTACTTTTCTGCACCAATGAGCACACAACATACAGTGTGCTATGAAGGACATTTTGCCGTGACAGTGGCTGTACATCCTACTCGTAATTCAGTTTCCAACTCTGAATCTTTACATGCTGCTAATGATCTACATGAAAACTTGGTTGTACAAACCATCTGAATGACTACAGGCTTTTCCATGCCAAGCCTTCCATCATGCACCATTGACACGGGAAAACCAGAGCAATTGAGAGATGCCATTGTCTGTAAATTTGCTAAAAATAATAATAATAAGATTCTTACTTGAAGTTTTTGTTTCATCGCGAAAACTGTATCTCTATCAGTGGTTAGTTCATCTTTAGAATGATCAGGTGCAAAGAGTTTATAGTTTAACATGTTGATGGCTTGCGATAGGACTCGACACACTGTAGATTTACCGCTACCAGCATCACCCGTTATTATCACTGGGGACTTTAATTCTAATGCTGAGTGAAGCTGTAAAGTCTGGAAATAAAGAAGTACAATAAAATAATTGTCAATGATGTGAATATTGAGAAGTCGTATCAGGTGTTCTAGAAAGAATATTTTATATATATACAAATATACAAGATGTCTCACACTATAAGGGTTTATAGCAATAGGGGTGAACCTGAATACCCAGAGAAAACCCATATGGTTGTACAGACAACCCTGTCAAGTTCAAGTGATGAATTGAAATCATGCCACTTAACTCAATGACAGACCTTATGATCTAAGGCACGTGTTAAACCATTAGATCACTGGAGCCCTCCAAATATATTGGTAATTATGACACCATAATATATATATAACAAACCTTTCCTTAGTTTACCCCCCATTTCTAATCACTGAACAAACAGTCATGTTGTATTTAATAAAGTATAGGTAATATTCCCCATGTAACCAACTTGGAGACAATTACCTATACTTTTTTATATTTTTTGGGGTGCCCGACCATATCACTGAGAGCTGATCTTGCCAGCAGTGTTCATGGATTCTTCCACCCTTAGGCAGTACTTTCAGTTAAGAGTTAATTTGTCACAGTCTTGTATTTTATTTGTATTTAATAAGTTAAAACTATTTAAAATGCAATAAAAACTGTTGAGAAAAGGTAAAAGACACTCTATGAAGGTTTGTTTTGGGAATGTACCAAAGGCGACAGATCTGTTGCTATCCTGGAAAGGAGTGGAAGACAAAAACATCTTGAAAAGAGTTGATATAACACAAAAATCAATTTACCTTCGACACCAGTTCTTCATTGTCTTCCAAATGATCGTCTTTCAATTGAGCTTGTATAGCAGACACCATTTTAGGATTGTGTGTTTGGTACATCGAGTTCTGTTGATTGGACATCGTTACTGGGAAGATGTCCTTCAATAAATTCTTAAAGATATTTAAATCTTCGTCATTTTCAAAACTCGATGTCAAGATTTCCTTTAAAGCATATACGATACTGTGTTCTTCTGCTCGACCAACATCTTCTTCAGCTAATGTAGCTCTCCATTCACCATCTATAGGTGGAAAATACAAGATTAATAAAGTCAAAGAGACGAAATCAGCAAAATCAAGTCATCATTATGAGAACACAAACTCTATGTCATCATTATCATAGGCCATTATTTATCAAAAACTAAATCAAATATTATAAAAACATTAAAATCTGTAATAGGTTTCATAATAATATCTTAAACAGTTTATGAGATATGCTACGAAAACATAATTTTAGAACCAAACAACTCTAAAATTTAAAAATCCTGAGGGACATCTTTCAGTGCTTGGACCTTTAATTTTCAAATAGATTTTGTTGTTGTAAATGTCATCATTTGTTTGTTGCCATATATTATATACAGATATAACATTAGCGGTAAATGATGAGCATAGTACAGAATACACCATCCTGCACCCCAGATAGAATATACACCATCCTGCACCCCTGATAAGAATACGCCATCCTGCACCCCTGATAGAATATGCCATCTTGCACCCCTGATAGAATAGAATGAAGTTTCATGCCTGTTTATTGGTCATTTTGAGACTAACATCTGGTCATATACATATCACAGGTTATGTGTGCAAGGAGAAAATTGCAACTGCCATGGGTTCATTTACATGTACGTACACCAATCATGAGTAACTTGGTGGATCTCGATTTTTCATCCCATCTAAATGACAAGGCAACTCTTTACACAGAAGGTACCCAGTTTTAAAATGTCCCAAGTTTCTCTTTGGCTCACACTTCCATTAAACCAATGACATTCTAGTCAAGAGGAAAGCACCCTACCTATCAACCAGCACAACTACAACACTTTATAAAACTTTCCAATCCGGCAAAATAATTAAATTTTATATCAAAAAAAACTCACCAACAGATTCTCCTGATACCTCATGTAGAAAACGATCATCTCGAACTTTACTAACGGCCATCTTGAGAATCTTTTTTACCTCTCTCAATCTGAACTGATACATATCTTTTCTGGGTAACTGTTGATAAAAGTTTGTAATTAGGAATGAAATGGGGTTTAACGTCCTACTTTTCTGTAGCAACTTGAGTAATATAAACTGGCATTAAAGGTATTATTAGAAATATCCTGTCCTATGTTCTGTGCCATAGCTAACTAATACACCTGTCAAACTGGGCTGACACCCTTACTGCGCTGCTACGGCGACTGAAAATGGTCTCAGAGCGCGTCACGATTGCCATAGGCGTGGTGGAATCACCAGATATTGTGCTGAGATCTCCATGGTCGTAAATGATTGCCGAGTGACGGCGTTTGTTTTGAGCATGTTCAAAAGAAACGGGAAGTTTCTGCGATCTGACCCGGAAAGCTGTGAGAACGCGTCTTTTTTTGAGTTTGTAATATTTGGGGACATTTTCTCGCGTAATGTTCGCGTTTTCCGGTGACCATGTGCATTTTCTGGCCGCTTACAGTCACAACAGCACAGTAAGGACACCACCCCGGTCTAACGGGGGGCACTAAGGAATGTCACCATGAAGATCATGTTATTTCAAACCCTTATCAACGCCGTATTTATATGCAGTACTTCAATGGCTAAGTTTATGCCAAATATTTACATAGAGAGAGAAATGGGGTTTAAAGTCTATTTGACACAAACTAGGTCATTTTGGGACTAACACATGGTTCAATTGTCTTTAGTAGTGAGAAAAAACTGGAGGACCCGGAGAAACCCACGAGGTTGTACAGGCGACCCTACTCCTTGTTACATAACAACGGGAGAATCGAAACCATGCCAGTTGACTCAATGACAGACCTTATGATACGCACTAACCATTCGGCAATCCAACCCCCCCTATATATTTACAATTATGTTATCACAAGTCTTATCGTCATTCTTTATTATAGAGCTACAGTTCTGATAGTAAATGCTGGAAAATTGATCAAATAGAACTGGCTATAAGAGAATAATATACTTACATGTGTTTTTAGAAGTCTGAGGAATAAAGATAGCTTTTGAGACAAGGCTTGTGATTGACTGTAACTATAGCAATATAGAGTAACTTCTATAACAAGTTGTATATCTGGTACAACTAACGCACATGGTCGCATCAATAACTGAAATATAAAAAATAGTTTCATTACAACTTATTTTTCCTCGTCAATAGTTAAAATTTACTAAATATGGTTTTACGTCCACTCGACACAAACATATGGTTCAATTTTATTTTAATAATTTGCTTATATAGGAGCCTTTAGCAGTGAGAGAAAACTGAAGGACTAGTAGAAAACCTATGAGTTAGACTGGTGACCCTACTCCTTGTCTCGTACACGCAGGGATTCGAAACCACGCCACTTGACCCAATGACAGACCTTATGATCAGAAGCCACACACATTATACCATTTGGCCACACAACCTCCCACACAGACTCATTCATAACATTCTCCTCAGTGACAGGACCAAGTCCTAGGTTCCCCACTATATATAATTAGTATAAACTTTAATTTATAATTCTGTTTCTGTGAACCACTTAAATCTGAGAGTTTCGTTCATTGGGGTGATGTACCTGATGAAATTGAACGTTGTATTCGGGTTCAAATATATGCCACAAATCACCACTGACACTCCGATTTTCAAAATTTTCTTGGAAGAGGACTCCCACTCCCTCCACACCCCACCAACCAAACATCCCACGTCCGCCAAATCTGTCTACTGTGATTGTTGGGACCTCACACCGATTCACAATGAGGTTTAACTCAATTACATTTTGAAGATATATTCTGTACCTTGAAATTTTCTGGCATGTAGGAAGAACTGGGACAATCTGTGGTTAAAGTCATAAAACAACCATAGTTGGCGCTGGCTGACAAAAATTTACCATTAAACATAACACTGCCTAGTCTTGGGTGAAAGTAACTTGGTTCCTGTGTTAATTTACTATAATCAGGTTGGCTTCTCTTCTTCTTCACATATTCTATAAATAGATATTTAAAAATCACCGCTCAACATTTCAGGCTAATAGACAATACAATGATTCTACAAATAAAAATGAAATGGGGTTTCCTGTATTACTTTTTTGCGGAAAACTAGGCTTATGGAGATGGACACATGAATGGTAAAAATGGTTACAGAGTTACAGAACAAGTCCTGTCTGTTACAGATCGATACCTATTTATGTAGGATCTGTCGTATGATCTGACTAGCACCTCTTCTTCTCAAAACCATTGACGTTGAACTCAACCAGCTGTAATCCAACGATCAACTAACGTGACACCTAAAACGTGCTATTTTTTTATTTTTTAAATGTTTTGCAAAACAAAATAGTTTTTTTCAGACTGGATTGAAGTATGATTGATCTATTAGGTAACTGGTAAAATTTGGTGGCTCGTTTTTTTCTCATTATATACAATGTGAAGGTTTGTAGGGATGGAGCATGTGAACTGTGTATAAAAACCAACCATAGAAGATGGAGGTGATTGAGGATGATGGAGGGGTGTACTGTATATACTAACCATAGAAGATGGGGTGGAGGGTGCAATTTGTCGATTTACTGACGGAAGAAAGACAAGAGGAGGAGGGGATTGAGGGGTGCACTAACCATAGAAAAGTGGTGGAGGTCGATTAGCACGATATAGTTCAGATTCTTTTATTTCTATTTCTCTCTCTATTGAATGACGTCTTCTTTCTCGTTCAGCAATCCATGTATCTTCAAAATATGTCATCAAACCTTTCTCCTAAAATAATCATTACAAAATATCAAACAGACTTGATTTAAAACATTTATAAAATCTGAATTTTTATAATATAATCTGGTTATCTTGGATGTACTATGGTTGGAAGTGCTATGTGATGGAAGAGAATTTTGCCCTGACAGCATTTCATCTGCTTTATCGAATTCCATCTGGATTATATATTATTATATGGCTGGCATCTGAACAACAAGACACACTTTTTGTCAAACCTATTTAAATTTTTATTCTTCAGAAATATCTATTACAATTTTGATTCCTATTACTTTTGT